GGACAGATCTGAAGTGATAACGTATGCAAGCAGCACAGCGAACCGTGCTGGCCTAGGGTGGTGACAGCTGCCTACTTGGGGGAGAAACTGACTGAAGCAGGAAAGACAAGACCTTTTTCCCCTCTTAAAAATGATTTTTAACTACAAGAGCATCTGCTCATTTTTTTTCAAAGCCGGAAATATTTGTGCATAAAGTGAAAATCACCCCTAGACCCAGTTCTACTCCCTATAGACCACCCCTGGAAATATTTTGGTATGTAAACTTTTAGACATTTTCTGCGTATAGTTTTAGACATGTACAAATATAAACATATATACACATAAACATTGTTCTTCTATGTTTATTTACTTCTCAGAAAGAGACAGAGCACGGGCGGGGGAGGGACCGAGAGCGAGGGAGACACAGAATTCAACGCAGGCTCCAGGCTCTGAGCTGTCAGCACAGAGCCCTGCACAGGGCTTGAACTCACGAGCCCTGAGATCATTTTTTTTTTTTTTCAACGTTTATTTATTTTTGGGACAGAGAGAGACAGAGCATGAACGGGCGAGGGGCAGAGAGAGAGGGAGACACAGAATCGGAAACGGGCTCCAGGCTCTGAGCCATCAGCCCAGAGCCCGACGCGGGGCTCGAATTCACGGACCGTTAGATCGTGACCTGGTTGAAGTCGGACGCTTAACCCACTGCGCCACCCAGGAGCCCCACGAGCCCTGAGATCATGATCTGAGCCGGACGCTCAACCAACTGAGCCACCCAGGCGCCCCAGCATAGTTTTTTAAAAACAGGACTGCGGTAAACATAATGCTTGGCAACTTGCTCTATTCACTTACTGTGTTGTGGCTCCCTTTTCGTGCTGCCAGGGTGCCTGCTCCCCTCCTTCACCACAGCTCAGGGTGCATCTGCTGTGCCCTAGTCTCAGGGCCAGCCCCTGGAGTTAGCAAGCTAGCTCTGCTTGAGACAACGAGGCAGAGTGGGCAAGGAAAGGATTACCTGGCGAGTGGGTGGCGGGGCACTGACAAGGTCCTCCTCTATAGCAGGCTCTGCCCCTGTTCCCGCAAAACCGCACTTCCAGGATGAGTGCTGGTTTCTGTCCCCTCGAGCACCTTCCTCCTCCCTGTCCCATTGCCTCTCCTCTAGTCCAAGAGCAGCAAATTCAGAAGCCTACAGAAGCCCAGCAAGTCAAGTGAAGCGGGCTCGATAGAAGTGTATCATAACTATAAGAAGCAGAACCCTGTTTGAATGGCAGCCAGTACTTACCCCAGTACTCACACACATCCCCTCATAAGGGGGGAGTATTGCCAGATCTCTGAATTTGCCTTGCAGAAGCCATGAGAAGCCTGGAAAAGTCTTCATGGTTCATTCTTCACTCTGTCTCCAATTAGACCAAGATTTGGAGAGTAGGAGCTGTGTTTTTACCTGCCTCTCTATCCATACATCAGACACTTCACCAATGCTTTTTTTTTTTCTTGTCAAATTTCCAGTTAAATTCCAGTTAGCTAATAAAGAGTGTAATATTGCTTTCAGGAGTAGAATTCAGTGATTTCATCACCATAACAAGTACCCTCCTTAATCCCCATCACTCATTTAGGCAAACCCTCACCCACTTTCCTTCACCAATGTTTTTTGAATGAATGAACTAAAAATTTTTTCAAATCCCAGATATACTTCCTCTTTGAATTCCCAGTCCTTCTGTCAACAACCACCATATTTTGCCTTCTATTAGGGTTACTTGGGTGCTTGTCGTATTCATTTTAATAACTCCAATATTCGTCAAGAGCTGAGGTTGTGTTTCATTTTTCATGTAGTTTCATGACTTTTTTTTTTTTGCTGTCTTTGTTTTTCTTGTTTTCAGCACAGTGTCTTGCACAAAATTGCTATTTTATCAATCTCTGTGGAATAAGTAAGTTAATAAATAAATACATCTGCCTACAAATGTAGCTGATGAGAATGAATTGCACAAGGAAAGGAAAAATAATAGTCTGGAAAATAAATGGTAGAATTTTCTTAAAGATTTTTAAGTCATCTCTACATACAACATGGGGCTCGAACTTAAACCATGAGATCAAGAATCACATGCTCAGCCCAGTGAGCCAGCCAAGTGCCCCAATAAACGGTAGAATTCTCAAACTAAGCGAAGCTGACTTGTGATATCATCTAGCACATTATTTTGAAATTTTTATAATATGCAAATAAATATCATTACTTTTTTTTAGTACAGAAATTTGAAACATGACTGTATTCTAAATGAAAAAGCCACTTTGCTCCTTAACAATAGAAAGGAGAGGGGCGCCTGGGTGGCTCAGTCGGTTGAGCGTCCGGCTTAGGCTCAGGTCATGATCTCACGGTTCGTGGGTTCGAGCCCTGCATCGGCCTTTGTGCTGACTGCTCGGAGCCTGGAGCCTGCTTCGGATTCTGTGTCTCCCTCTCTCTCTACTCCTCCCCTGCTCATGCTCTGTCTGTCTCTCTCTCTCTCTCCTTCAAAAATAAATTAAAAAAGAAACATTGAAAAAAAAAACAACACAAAGGAGAATCAAGCCTGATTTACGTCTTAGGCAGCCCCTCCCCCCAAAAGATACACTCTTGGAAATAGCTGACTGGTGTATACCATATGTTCGTTCCTTCCTTCCCTTTAAAATCCCAGGAGTTCAAATCCAAGATTTTTTAAAAATAGCATGTTTTTATAACTCTAATAAAATCTAATTTTTTTTTAAGTGTCCACTGCTAAGGAGAAGTGAATAGAGAGCAACCATTCTGGAAGGAAAAATAGTTTCTTACGGCAAAATAAATTTTACCATCATCATCAACACCTAAGTCAACCACTGCGGAAAGGCCTCATTCAGAGGAAGTTGAATGAGGAGGGAATTTAGCCCCTCTTTTTCTCTACCAAAAAGGACATTTTAGGAGTATTTCCTACTTAGTGTTTGATTATAACAACCTGTAGAGGGCGTCCTTGCACCAAGAGCCATAGAGGTCTGAGCACTGCAAAGGAAAAAGTTTCAGTTCAGACCACACTTTTTGGAGTCAAAGAAAATGTCTATTGTGTGCTGAAATTATCTTTAATTGGGAAACAATTGGCATTAAAATGTTAAAGGGCTTCAAAGGCTGCCTGATGTATGTGCATGCATTATATATAGATGCATATGCACTGAAATCAAAACTAATAAAATGTTTGAAAAGAGGTAAATAGTCTTATTCTAAAGGAAGAATGGCTGTGAGCCTTGGGATGTATACACTTAATTATAATTTACTTATCAGTACGAGATATAGTGGCTAAAAGAATGGGCTTTTAAATCAGAGTGCCTGGGGTTTGAACCCTGACTCTGTCCCTTACCATCTGGGTAACCAAAGGCAGCTTCTGGGACTTTTTGGAACAGTGCTTCCCTATCAGTAAAATGGGGCTATTAATAGTGCCTTTTTTAAAAGGGTTGTGAGGATTAAGTAAGCACTTTAAAGTCCTTATAAGTTAAGGCACTGCAAGTTCAAAACAGTCATAATTAGACATCTTGTCTAATTACTTTTAAAGATCAACAGTTGTAAAGCTGAAAATATTTCATAATTGGAAATGCATATTCTGTTCTTTTTAGTAACTTATCGTGACCTAACATTTTTTTAACTGAATGCGTGCACATGTTCGGCTTCTGTTCTGTCCGTTCTGTTTGTTTTCCCCTCTTGAGGTGTCCACCACTCTACAAAGGACTGAGTGAAACACCACACCCAGCCCTAGACACTCATCCTTGGGCATTTGTCGCTGCATCTGGGTGCTTAAGAACAAGGAGATGTAAACAACCCTTTTCTGAGTCTGAAATCTTTCTAAGCCTCTTTTTTTTTTTTTAATCGTTTGCTTCCATTTTCTTTGCGCAGCCGAGGGATTAGGCAGGAAGCAGGTTAAATCCCTTCTGAGGAGGTAGGGTATGTATGTATGTTAGGCTGTAGCCCACCGCCAGCCAACCAGTCTTCCCATAGGCAAGGCCAGAGCTTGGTCTTCCTCCCAAGCGCCTGTGATTTCAGTACCACCGCGCGCGCCTCCAAGTTTGGGGAAACCCCAGCAAACATTAAGATTTTCATGGTTTTGTGAAGTCCTATCCTCACGGGGTCAGGTGCACGTGTCATCCAGCGTCCAGGGAACTCTTCCCGGGTGAGCAAGGAGAAGAGTCTCCCCACCTGTGAAAGCGCCCTCCTTGATGTGAATCAAGTGCGGAATGAAAGCCCTGCGCCAGGAGCCAAGCCGAGCGCCCGCAGTCAAGGACACCACTGGACGGTGGATCGGGTTTTACACTGTACCAGCATATTGTAGAGTATCAGCGTAGAGCGGCTCAGAGAGGAACGATAGTGGCGGAAAGGAAGAAGTGGAGGAGTATGTGCTTTCCTTTAGCACTGACATAGGGATGGGGGGGTCGTCGTTGTCATCGTCGTCATCGTCATCATTACCATCCTCAGAGCTTAATCAAGCCACGCGATGTCCGTTCTTCCCCTTTGCTTCCTGCCAGGCCAGCCAGGCGAGAGGCAGAGGCGAGTGACGTCCCGGGGGGCCGGTCTGAGCGCCCCTCTCCTCAACCGCCTACACCACGCGTTCCCTTTGCGCGCGCTCGCACCCGCGCCCCGCGGCAGGGACGCGGCTTTTCCGAGGGTCCCGCGCCGCCCAGCGCCCCCCAGTGGCGAGCGGCTGGACCTCGCCACTCCTCGCTCGCACCTCACTCGCGCCCTCCCTTCCCGCTCTTCCTCTCGGCCTGTATTTAACCCTCGGGCTCTTGGCCTCGCCGTGCGTGCTGGCATCTCCCGCTTTGCCAGTCTCGCGTCTCCGCCGTCGCGTCTCCCTCCTGCGCCCCCTGCGCCTCCCAGCAGGCGCCGGCTCTCCCCTCCCTCCTCCTCCGGCTCTCGCGGACTCACTCGCACGGGAAGGAGGCGGCTGCACGCCTGGCCGTCTAAGCGGGCACAGCTCCGGCTGAGGGAGGACTTCACGGACGCAGGTTGGGTGGGTGCAGCGGCGAGAGCCACGGCGAGGGAGATCTGGGGTAGCATGGCCGGGAGAAGCGCCTTCCCCGCCGCCGCGCTCCGGCTCTGGAGCATCCTCCCGTGCCTGCTGGTACTGCGGGCGGAGGTCGGGCAGCCGCGGGAGGAAAGCCTGTACCTGTGGATCGATGCTCACCAGGCAAGAGTGCTCATAGGTAAGGCCCCCGCGCCCACTCCGTTCCCCTGCCTGTGCCTTTACTCTCTCCAGCGCTTCTGTTCAAGGAGAGATGCATGCATTTAAGGATCTTTTAAAAACTTTAATTTGCAAGGAAGGTTGTTCCCCTCCACCTTTTAATAAGCTATTTTTCCACCTGAAGGCGTATGCCCTTCTCTCAAGAAACCTAAGCAGATCTAGTGTTCTGATCGCGCAGTTGTTAGTTTCCACAACCGTTAAGTTTTGCGGGGGACCCAGCGTTTGTTAACACCCGGTTACTCCGTGTCCACTCCCTTTCTTGAAAGCTTGTGTCTCTTAGCACCGTTCTTACCCCGTGCAGAGGAAAATTAGTTGGTGCCAAGACAGGTGCGTGGTGTGTAGGCATGACCCATACCAATTCTTTAATGCTCTTTTTGCATTAAGTCCACCTAGTCTGATCGTTTTGCTTTTGTTTTTGTTTTTTTTAAACCAGGATTTGAAGAAGACATCTTGATTGTTTCAGAGGGGAAAATGGCCCCTTTTACACATGATTTCAGAAAAGCGCAACAGAGAATGCCAGCCATTCCTGTCAATATCCATTCCATGAATTTTACCTGGCAAGCTGCAGGGCAGGTAAGTTCTGAGACCAGAAGGGGTGGAGAAAATTACCCTTTAAACCTTCGACTGCCCGATGGCAGGTAGAAATAATACTGTGTAGGCTGGTACCTTTCCACCACTTTTAAGAGTGATTTCTCATGTGATTTCCAACGCCAATAAAGAGCTAACTCGTGTTTATTGAAACATGTCCCATAAATTAAAGATTCCCAGAAGAAAAGGGGAAGCATTGTGCCTAAGCTTGCTATTTTGATATGACTGTGTCTTCAGGCTGCTAGACACCGATACCAGCGTCACTTCTTCCTGTGATCAGTGACATTTTTTTTTCAACGTTTTTTATTTATTTTTGGGACAGAGAGAAACAGAGCATGAACGGGGGAAGGGCAGAGAGAGAGAGGGAGACACAGCATCGGAAACAGGCTCCAGGCTCTGAGCCATCAGCCCAGAGCCTGACGCGGGGCTCGAACTCACGGACCGCGAGATCGTGACCTGGCTGAAGTCGGACGCTTAACCGACTGCGCCACCCAGGCGCCCCGATCAGTGACATTTAAACTTAACATATTATCTAGAAGACTCTTTTCCCCATAGTATATACTAATCATGGTTGACATTATTTATACTTTATAGCAAATTTTAAACTCTAAGTATTTTTGACATTGTGCGTTTGAAAAAAAATTGCTGAATGTTACTCACTGGAACAATGCAAATGCGATACATTTCTGGTTCAACTTCGTAGCCTCAAAAAGTGTCATATAAGAATGTTTGTAAAATATTGCAGGCTATTGATTTTTTTTAAGTAGCATTTTAAATACGTTCATATGGAAAAAGAAAACTGCAGTATATTTTTATGAAGAAGCACATTACCATCTCTTAGCACATTACCATCCTTTGTATGTTACCTTTTGTACAGTTCCAATATTACACAAATGAGCTCTAATTTTGGAAAGAAAGGGAGAATAAATGTAATAGGGATTTAATTCCTTTTGTGCAGTTGGAGAATTTACTGTAGAGGACAAAGAGTAAGTAATAAATTCTTTTATTCATTAGTCGGTAAAATATGTCCACTATGAGAGTCATTGTAATTATAATTAAAATCACATTCTCAGGTCCTTTTTTAACTCCAAATTACTTAAGTGGCCATTTTTGTGATGAATGTGATCCAGAAGACACTTAATTAAAAGTAATTGTTTTGAATTGAGAAACCATTTTGTGTCTCTCTAATTATCAGTTATATTTGGGGTGTGATCATTTTAATTGTCATTTTTCCCCCAGGTCTGTTCTCTCATGTTTCCCCCTAAAATAAACCAAATCTAGACCCATCGACACTTCCATCATTGTAAAAAAAAAAATAGATGTTTTGGATCCATCAGGGTTCATAACAGGAAGGTCATCTATTCTCACACCCCCATTTAGCAGATGAGTTCACTGAGGTGCCTATTGTTCCAAAAGAGAATATCCCTTTTCTTCCTATAGAATTCCCTCTTCACAAATACTTTATAGACAGTTAATTATGGAATATTGTGAAATCAGTAATAATTTAATGAATGACCTTTTATCATCTCTTTTTTCTTTTCACCTGAATGTATCTGTGTTTGACCATTTGTCAGATGAGATCAACATTAATTCAGTATTTGTTTGTTTTTTAATGTTTACTTAACTTTGAGAGAGAGAGAGAGAGAGAGAGAGAGTGAGGAAGGGAGGGGCAGAGATGGAGGGGAACAGAGTATTCAAATTAGGCTCTGCGCTGAGAGCAGAGAGCCTGATGGGGGCCCCAAACTCTCAAACTGAGATCAGATCCTGACCTGAGCTGAAGTTGGACGTTTAACTGACTGAGCCACCTAAGCGCCCCTTAATTCAGTAGTTTTAAAAAGGACACTTTTTTAACCTGTACTTTCATGAATTTGTAAGCACCATTGGAAGGACGCTTAACTTACACCCCTTCCTAGCTGAAAGCATTTGATAACTGTAAGAGAAGCAGAAGGTATCAACGGTTCTTATTTATTTATTTTTCATATGCGTTTGTCTTCTGAAGAATGGAATTTGAAGCAAAGGCTTAAATGCCATGCTATCTCCCCTGTTGGTTTATGGCTAGTGCAGGTTTGCAAACACTGGCATGTTATTGAGTACAAAATGAATCACAGATCAATCTCCAGAATATCTCTTGTAAAGGATTAGAGAAGACATCAGAACTGGCATGGAAATAAGGCTTCTAGCATCTTTTTTTCTCCTGTTTAGTTGTTAATAGCCATTGTGGCTTATCTCATTACACCGGACAATGTTAGCCCCTCAGTTACCTTGCTCTTTATGCTTTCTGCTCTCGGCAGGTACTCTGGAGTCTGTCTTATTTAGCGGGAGGCTAGGTGAGAAGCGTGTGATCTACGCAATGCCAAACAGCGGGACATTTAAAAATATTACTTAAATGTTACTTATTTTACTCAACAACGTTATGTGACTCCAGCAGCATCATTTTTGAAATGCATGGACATTTTGAAGATGAGAAAAATAATCACTTCAATAGCAATTAAGTCTTTTGAAAGGCATCTCTGGCTAAAGCCAAACCACATCAAAACATCGACATGGAAAATGAAAAGCTCACTCCATTATCTAGTTATTTCATCCAAATAATATCAAGCATTTAGGGATTTCGATCATTTGAAATAACTTTTATGTTCTACTTCAAACAGATGCAAATAAAAAAATTACAGTGAGATTCGTTTCCCCACATCAAGTTGCTCAGGTTTTTAAGAGTGTTTTAAGTATGTGGAGAATTGGGCACGCTTGTATGTGGCTGATGCCCCTTGAGCCTTTTTGTAGAGCAATTTGATTCTGAGAGCAAAAAGCGTGATACGGATCCTTTGACTGGAAATTTTCCTTCCAGAGATTCATCCTAAGGAAATGATGTCCTAAGGATATTAATAAAAATTTAGGTGCAAGACTGTTCCTCATTACACTACTTATAAAAGTCAACATGTTGGGGCGCCTGGGTGGCGCAGTCGGTTAAGCGTCCGACTTCAGCTCAGGTCACGATCTCGCGGTCCGTGAGTTCGAGCCCCGCGTCAGGCTCTGGGCTGATGGCTCAGAGCCTGGAGCCTGCTTCCGATTCTGTGTCTCCTTCTCTCTCTGCCCCTCCCCCCTTCATGCTCTGTCTCTCTCTGTCTCAAAAATAAATAAACATTAAAAAAAATTTTTTTTTAAATAAAAAAAAAAATAAAAGTCAACATGGGTAGAATGTAGAGGCCCAGTGATAGTGGCAGGAGAATGCAAAGAAGCATTAATAAGAATATTCTAGAGATCTAACCAATGCCACAGAAGAAAGATATTCATGACAGATTAAGTCAGCAGTGTATAACAGTATATTCTGATTCTATTATAAAATATGTAGGCAGACATAGGAACAAACATCTGATAAACCTCTGATTCTCCTGGGTATTAACATTAGTCACATTCGCGTATTTTACATTTTTGTTTTTCCACAATGAGTGTGTATTGATTTGTAATTTCAAAAAACTATTTTACATTAGATACGTACAAAAAGTTATACTTTAGAGTTTATGCGTGTATGACATTCTACATTAGTTTACTTATATTTATTACCCAGTATCATTTTTTAAATGTTTTTTTAAACTTATTTTTGAGAAGGAGAGAGAGCACAAGCGAGGGAGGGGCAGAGAGAGGGGGAGGCAGAGGATTCAAAGCAGGCTTTGCACTGACAGCAGAGAGCCCGATGTGGGGCTCAAATTCATGAACCATGAGATCATGACCTGAGCCAAAGTCAGATGCTTAACCAACTGAGCCACCCAGGCGCCCCAATACAGTATCATTTTTACACCACACATCACTCAACAAAATGATAAAACAGGTGGTTTTTGTGGCTGACTATAGCTATGGAGCCCAAAGAATTCACTAATGCTTCTCTGATTCTCACCAGTTTCTTTCAAGATCCCTAAAAATCTGCCTACGAAGGCTTTCCTATCTGAAATCAGATGGCCTGACCTCTTTCTCTCACTGAAATCCTCATTTTCCATTGAAAACCCTGTCTCTACTTTATCTCCCATTTAAAATACTCATTTACTCACATGCCCTTCTCAAGGCCTTTAGATCAGAGAAGAATTTCTATTAAAGAGGTTTAGGCTTAAAGGATTTTTAGTAATCAAGGGAAAACACTCTTTATTGCTGTATATAACTTTTAATAGTTGATATTTTTCAATGAGGCATTCCTTATTCTAATTTTTCTCCATATTTGGGACAGGTAGGGACCATGAGTGACCATTTTGGTTTTCTAAACGATGCACTAATTAAACATTTTATTTGGAAAATAACTCTTTCTGAAACTAATGGCTTTCAAATAAAACCTTAATGAGGAGTTTTGTTGGACAAATCTGAATTCCAGTATTAGGACACCACTGCTGATTTCCATATGAACCAAGTTGGTTCAAGGCCAAAATTTTTTGTTTATATAGATCTTATAAACAGATCTTTATTTATAAAGATCATATAGACTTGAACTTAACAACTGTAATATATTCTATCACCTGCACATAGATGCTAAGGTACTATGAGTCTAGTACGCAGTTAATAGGCCATCTCTTTTTATGTTGGCTTTTTTTTTTTTTTTTTTTTTTTTTTTTTTTTTTGCAGTGGTGATGGATTTATGCTGAGCCATATCTGTACTAGTTTTCCAACCTCCTTGTGACCAAATGCCTGGATTTCTGAGATGGTTGGCAAGGGTTGGGGTGAAATTGGTGTGTATGGAATAGAAATTCTCTGGGTGAAGATAACCAGCCAGTATTAACTTCCAACCCACCACGTGGATTACCAAGCAAGCCCTAACCATCTGTACCAACAGGTCCAGATCTTAAAGTAAGCTTGTTATTATGTGTAGCGGTCACAATCCTTGTGACCACCAGAAGTCAGTGACAGAGCTTCATTTCCGTCAGTTTCAAGATGTTTAAAACCAAAACTTAAAAGCATCGTGGTGGATACAGGAAAGAAAGGGGAGAATTTTGTCTGCTGTGCTG